TACGTGCTTTTTTTTTTTTAATCTCAACCAAAATAAAATATAAATATTTAAAAAAATGAGAGTTATCCCAAAAGAAGCAAATAGAACAATATTACTCAAATTGCCACAGCAAAGGCTCGGCAACTCCTCTGGTCCAAGCATAGACCGCCGTTGTTAGAATATTCATATGTCTGCATATATAGAAAAAATAAGAACTAATCCAAATCCCTTCACATATTCCAATTCCAACCAAAACTTAATTTCCTTTTATGTGTTGATAATGTTATTCTTATTTTAGTTTTCTAAATTACATATATGTTTTATAGTAGATCTATTTGAGACATTATGAACAGTAATTTTGTTTTAAATATTTAAAGTAACTACGTGTTCAAAACTCGGATTCAAAATTGTGGGCTACTTGCATGTTTGGTCCGGCATTTTTTTTATCTATAGATACATGTGTATTAATGCTACAAATAGTAGTTTTTAAATTTCACACATGCATTCATCATGATAAATAATTTCATGTCAATTGATGAACATGCAACGTTAATTTTATACAATAAACTTTACCATTTAAGAGAGATAAGATGTATAAGTGACATGACAGAAAAGATAATAATGAAAAAAATATAGTAAAAAAGTGTTATAAAAGTTTATTATGTTTGTTTTATTAATTATTTACTCTTTTTGGAACCTTTTATATAAAATAACCGTTAGTATTTTTTTGTCTTAATTATAAAAAATAAAAACTTATTATTAAATGTATTATTTATTATTATTTTTATATCATTATTTGTTATAAAATTTGTGTAATTAGGTATTTATCTATTATTTATATAAAAATATATGCATTCATTTCATGTATAAATTACTAATTTAACAATTTAATATTATATATTTTTGTGTGATGCGGGAATTTATGACATTTAGTTTTTTTTTAATGATCTTAATGAATTTAATTTATTTCTAATAAAAATTATTTAAGGAATTATTAATGAACATTCAATATTCCATCATATGTGCATTTTCCCTTGCTAAATGAACCAATTTTTCTAATGTATGTTGAATAATAATAATAATAATAATATTTTAAATTATGCAATTTTATATTATTAATACATTAAATTTTATGATATCTTATAACTTTTAATTAAAAAATTTATATATCTTATAATTTTAAAAAAAATTATTATTATGTATTTTAAACACACTTCTAAAAAATTAATCAAAAAAAATTTAACAAACTATAACCAATTTTATTCCAAGCTGTTGTGGACATAGATATTTACTCAAACTATGTTATTCCAACAAAAGTTATAGTTTCGGTAAACTAGGAGAATAAGTAAACCAAGAATCAAACTTTTTCTATATTTACTCTACTGAATAAAAAGTATGTTAAAAACTAAAATAAAAAATCAATCTTTTTGCTTTTTATTCATAATATACTTTTTTATTAAGAAAAATAGAATATTTATTATCTTTTAAATTTTATTAGACAGTATAAGAAGAACTATTTTTTATTAATTTTAAACAAGTTAACATAAATTCACATTTTTTTTAAATACTAGAAGATTTACTATCTTTTGACCACATGACTTGTGATGATATATACAAGATTTTTCTGTGTTAAATTAAAAATAATATTTTAAAATATTCACTTAGTTATATTAAAAATTTATTATAGCTTAATTTTAGAATTTGATTGTTTAGAAACGGTAAACCTTATTTTAAAAAAATCAATCTTGATTTTTTTTAAAGATTATTTTATTTTACAAAATATTTGTTGTCTCATGTAAAGATTTTTTTATGTATTTATATATCATATTATTTACAAAGTTAATTCACTTTCTAGATAATCTTCTAAATATATTTTTTATATTTTTAATTTTATATAGTTTATATATATTTAGTTTATTTTTTATTTTTTATTTTTTATCTTTAAAAAAAATATTTTTTATTCAAAATATTTTCATCGTAAAATTTTATTACTACACTACACGTCGAAGGTCCATTAAAAACACGTTTCTTAAATATTTATTGTTACAAAATCACTATAATAATAATAATAAATTTGACATTTTTAATATTTAAAGAATTTAAATAAAATAAGATCAATCTATTTTATAATAAATTGATAGTTATCCAAAAAAAAATGTTGCATAAAAAAATCATAATAATGTATAGTGTCTAAATCTAAATAATAAATATATTAATTTTATCGTTATCTAATAAAAATATATATTAATATTAATAATTTAAACAAATTTTTACTTATATACATATAAGTTATATGATATTTATTTTAATATTATTCAAGGACATTTTCCCTCTCTCATAATCAGTGTTAATTAATTTTAAATACTTCATTATCAATTTTAGGATCTAAGAAGATGAAATAAAATTTTACAGTCAAATGATTGTTTCATGTATAAATTTTCTGCAAGGCTTAGCGGTAGCTTTCCTGTACTGTAAATGTGAATAACTTATCCGAGTCCCTTTTCAACATAATAAAATAAAATTTAAAATTTAAAAAATAAAAAAATTAAATTAAATTAAATTTTGTAGAAAATTAAAATAATAAATAAAAACTAAATTTTAATTTTAATTTTAATTTCAAATTTTTAAATTTAAAATAATAGCAGATCATTGTATAAGAACTAAAAAAAAAATAAACATGATTAAAATAGTTTGTAGATTCGTAAAAAAGTGAAGGAGATAATAGAGAAAAAAAACTAATTAGGGATAATTGAAAAATAAAAAACTGTAAAAAGTTGAATCCTTTTATAAAAATAAAAATATATATTAAATAGGATGAGTTTTAATGAGTATGAATTATAAATAGGAGATGTATTAAAAAAAAAATATGGACCCAAGAGAAAAACAATTTGAAGGAAAAGAAGTTAGAAAGAAATAAATATTCTTATAACACTAAAATTCTCAAAACATTTCTTGAGGTCAAAATATTTGTTTTTCTTAAATTTTCTTCTTCTTTTTTCTTTTTTTCTCTCAGTTTCTCTATATTCTTTTTTTTTTCTTCTCTTTAAAAATACAAGTCTTATTTATAACTCACATTCTTTAAAACCTACATTCTATTTAATATATTTTTATTTTTTATTTTTTATTTTAATAAAAGGATCCAACTTTTTTTAAATTACCACTAATTAATTTTTGTTCTCTACTATCTCCTTCACTCTCCTAAAAATTTATAAACAATTTTAACTATTTTTAAATATTTTTTTATAATTTTTATCCACTAATCCACTATCAATTTCAAATTTAAAAATTAAAATTTTAATTTTAAATTAGCTTTTATCTATTATCTTAATCTCCTACAAAATCTAATTATTAGTTTTTTTTATTTTTATTTTTAAATTTTTAAATTTTATTTTGTTATTTTGGAAAAAAAAACTTGGATAAAATTGGTTGTTTATAGTGAATTAATCTCTTTTTAATTTTTTTTTTAAAATTAATTTTAAACATTTAAAATTAAAAAAATTTTATTAAAAAATTAGTGTGTTAAATATATGTAAGTGTAATAAATCATTTGTTTCAATAAACTACTACCATTATTATTTCAATAAATTTATTTTTTTTCTAACCTTGAAGGATTATTTGGAAAGGAGAGTTTTGGAGGGGAGGGTATAAGTTTATATTTTAAATAAATATATTTAAAATTAATATTTTTAAAAATAAAAGATATAATTTAATATAATAACAAAAATTTAATATATTAATAATATATTTGTCATTATAAATAATATATAATTTATTTAATTTAAAATTAAAAAATATGTCCTTTCTTTTTTTTCCTCCAAAAATCTCCTCCTAAATCTATCCAAAAATTTTTTTTTTGCAAATCCTAAAAAACTCTAATTTTTTAACCCTAAAAATCATAAATTTTTCTTTTCTTACAAACTTTAAAAATTCTTAATTTTTTCTAACCCTAAAAATATTTCTTTTTTTCAAATCTTAAAAACTTTATTTTTTTTAATTAAAAACCATACTTTTTTTAACCCTAAAAATCTTTCCTTTCTTGTAAACCTTTAAAAATCTAATATTTTATAATTATAAAAATATTTTTTTCTTGTAAACATCGAAAACTCTAATCTTCTTTTCTAACTTATAATCCTAAATTCTAGATCTTATTTTATATATATATATTAACAAAAAGCTTTAACTTTTCATCATTTTTTATTTTCGATGACTATTAATCAATTTTGTCTCTATTATCTTTTTCACTTTACTGAAAATTTATAAACTATTTTAACTTTTTTTATCTAGTAATCTATTATTGATTTTTAATTTAAAAATTTAAATTTAAAATTAATTTTGATCTATTATCTTAAATCTAATCATTACTTTTATATTTTTTAAAATTTTAAAATTTTGTTTTATTATTTTAGAAAAGTACTCAGATAAAATTGCTTAATCACGGTGAATATATATATATATATATATATATATATATAAATTTTAAACTTTTAAAATTAATAATTTTTTATTAAATTACGGTGTTAAATACATGTAAGTTTAATAAATAATTTTTTTTCAATAAATCACTGCCACTATTATTTTTATTATTTAAATTCTGCTTTAAAAACTGAAATTAAGAAAAGTAAATAAAGCTTTCATACCATCAATTTTATAGCTAGCAACAAATGATGCTCAGAGCTGTAAGTAAAATTGTTAAAAAAAAAAATCCATTTACAACAAAATAAATTAAACGCTACCTAAATTACAGTATTTCATGTAAGTCTGCATGCGTTAATGACGTCACAACTCAGAAGCATTTCATCATGGAAAAGCTTTACTCACCCATGTCTCGGACTCCACTATCTCATATTGTGGGAAGAATGTTAATTAAAGTACACACAGACCGCACTAAGTATAACCCTCAGACACAAAATCCATCAAATCCAAATGGTTGCCTCTTTAAATTGGAATCGTTTTGATATGAACAATTAATAATGCCTTTGTCTCTCATTTTGTGGATGAGCCTCAAACATTTTTATTAGGACATGGAGAAAAGCAAATCCTTCTCGGCCTATCATTCCAGCTGCTACCATGACATGAGGGTTGGGTTTGAGGATCGATCCAATTCTTACAGCTTCAATGGTCCAAGCATCAAAGAAGATGTTCTGGCCATAAAGGGTAACCCAGAAGTCAAAAGGAGAAAAAGGGTAGCATCCTATAACATGTACACCATGGAGGCTAAGCTCAAATCCTCCTTTCGCACCAGTTTCAAGTGGATCAAAAACAAACTTGTAGTCGACTATTACGACGATGAGTGAACTAAACCATAGTTCGCTTCTATTTGCTTATTTTTAATTATTAATTGTCCTTTGAAGTCGTTTAGCCTGTGCATTTTGGCGAGCTTATAAAAAGCATGTGATAATAGTAAGTTGATGCTTTTTAGTTCGGGTGTCGCGGGCATTCAATATATAGGCTTGGTATTGAGATCAAAAATATAAATGAATTTAGGCTTAGATTCGATTCACTTCTACTTTTTTTTTCTAATGTTTTCCAATCCCTATAAGCTTGTAGGACTTTTTCTAGAAAAATAGATTTGTGTAGATTTATTTCTTAGTCCCTAGTTTTGTCATGGGCTTTGAAGCCCGTTTATTATTAAAAAAAATGTTTAAAAAATAATTTTATTTTTTTTTGTAAAATGTTTAATTCATTTTATAAGTTTTTAAGAAACTGAGACCAATTCCCTCCCAAAAGCTAGTTAATAAGAGGAAAATTACTCAAGCTCTTGAAAAGGTTTATTCATACTAACTAAATTTTTATAATAGTAATAGAATGTTTATGAATAGTAAAAACATTTCTTAGATAAAGTATTATTGCATAAATATATGTATAAAGTTTTTACTCAGTTTATTTTCGACCAGTTTGAACATTGGTGTCCAAAAATTAATTCGATCTGTTTTTTTTTTTGTTTTTTTTTTTTTTCAATTTAAGCACCATGGTCTTCACCTTTTCAGTCTCATCGATCTATCGAGTATAATTTTTCACTTTTTCACCTGCATTGAAAATCAAGTAACTTGATGACTTGCATGTTTACTCTTGTTTCTTTGTCATGCTTCAATCATAACGGAAAGAATTCCTAATAAATAAAAATTCCAGATTGAATTCAGAGGAAAATGTAGTCAACGCATGTTCTAACGTTAGCATGTCTCATTATAGAAATGCAAATGCTATGTGACTCTTTATTTCTCTATCAAAAAATTAATATCTGTTTAATTGCTAAGCTGCAACATGTCCGCAATATGTAAAAACAAATATAAATGATAAAATAAAACTTCCAAATCACGCGAAGCAATTTGATCTAGATCGAGGTAGTCAAATTCCATGGCCCAACATTTTATTTTTTGAGTTATTCTTTAATCTTTAATAAAAATTAAATTTTCGTCTCGATAATACACATAATAAATATCAATTTTAAATGTTAGTATATCGAGATAAATAAAACTCTAATTTTAATTAAGTAAAAACACTAAAAAATATCCATAATACTGTAAATAAGTTCAATTTTATTTAATAATGTCATCATAGTGAAACTCTTTGTAATGACGTAACAAAAAAGAATTAAATGATAATGTAAAATAAAGATAATGTTTAGAGTGAGTAGATAAAAATTAAATATTTTTAGGTGAGCCATAAAGGTTTGATAGCTTGTGTGGATCAAGTCGAAAATCCAACGTGGAAAAGGACCTACGAAGCTGAGCAAATTCGTTGCCTTCATTGCGGTTGATCATATCTATCATAGAGGCCTGTAAGAGAACACTATAGTTCTTTATGTTCTTAAGAGCATTGGGATGGCCATCTGATTTGGGGGATTTTGTCCCACTAGAGAGAAAAACTGGGGACAGAGATGCATTCATAAACATTCTTGAGCCCAATGATGTGCTGCTACCACTATTGCCCGTATCATGACTTTGCTTCTGCAGTTTTTCCAAATTCTTCTTCTGTCCAATCCAATGTACAAAATTTATTATCTTTGTCATCACTTAATGCTAACCAGAAGAAAGGACTCTTATAAACGATTTATCTAACTCAGGAATATTGCATGTAATAAAATTTATGTAATATGTTTTATTAAGAATTATGAAATTCGATGTAAATAATTTTTAAGAAAAATTTATTATTTATGAGTTTCTTCTATGTACAATATTAAATAAATTAAAAAGACTAAAAAATGCACTATAATATATATCCATTACATAATCCATAGCAGAAGGTTGTTTTAAAAGGATTTACTAGTAAGTGTGGTGACTCACCTCTTTTGACGATTCTGTATCTCTACCAGGTTGTTCGGTAGTTTGATTCTTTCCTGACTGACTAGCATCACTTTTCCTTGTTTGAGATGGTTGCCCTCTTTTAGAAACCCTATGCCTATGTCATGAAAAGCAATATACTTCAATATTTGATTTTTTTATATGAAATTTCAGTATAAAAAATTACAAGAATATGAAAAAATTTCAAAAATAATTAAAAATATTCATCCAATAATAATTTATATAGTACTTGGAACTTTTTTTTTTTATTTTCTCACGTTTGAGTTCCCATTTTTTATAATTTTCCAAAAAATTTCATATTTTAGTCTATATTATTTTTAAATACCATATATAAAAAAATATTCCTCAATATTTTCAGTCCTATGATTATATGAAAGCCAATTAAGCACTCTGTTGCTATAAAAAAACACAGAACTTAGTTCTTCTGGTGTCAATGCTTAGAATGTAGAAATACCACATGTGGAGATCGCCTTGCTTTGTTTTGTCCTCTACTGACTACTATATATAAAAGAAAAAACTCATTCCAGTCTTGAACTAATTAATTAACGGTTATAAAAACTTTAAACATCCAAAATTAATAATTTTTTACCAGCAAAAAAATTATTCTACTTTTATATTTTTCTAATAAAAATTTATTAATTAGAGTTGAGTTAACCAAACTAATTTATTAATAGCATACCTTCTGCGTCTCTTGGTTTGGGAGCGTTCATCCTCTTCTTTGTTGATTACTGGTAAAGCTGAAGGGTCACATGCTAATGGACTACATTTGAAGAACTGGAAGCAGTGAAATTGCAATTTGGGAATGATATACATTGTTAGTATACTTAACGATGATCAAACATGCTCCAAATATTCTCCACTCTTTATTACAAGAAATTTTAATTAAGGCATTGTCAAAGAAAAGAGCATCAATAAAAACAAAATGAACTAAACAGAAATTGAAGAAGATGCATAGTTAGCAATGGCAGAAAAACTGACTTCACTTTGGAGAGCAGAGGCAGCGCTGCCACGATTTGCAGGGTCGAGATCAAGAAGTTTAGTCAAAAGACCATTTGAAGAGGAAGGAAACTTCTGGAAGCTTTCTTGGTAAATAGGTTTGTAAGGTTGTGGGGCCCGGTAGCTTGTTGTTAGCTTCAGTTTTCTAAAGTAATCCTCTGAAGGTGCACCAAATAGTTTGAAGATCATGTGAAGCTGTTCCACCTATGTATAGAACATCAAATGCTTTTTTATATTTCCGAAGATTTTTATAATAATGTTCAATAAAAAGATGACAACAGTTGATTTCTTTTTTTATTGTTCATTGAAGATATCTCTAACTCAGACTAGGAGACTAATCTCTTTCAATTTTAGATATCAACAAAGTGAATTTTATCTATCTATTTGAATTAATTTTTCATCACCAAAATGGATTTTGTTTAGTAAAGTTGACAGTTGATTGCATTTATTTGATTGCTAATAAATTAAACTAGCAAATATTTGCCCGGGCGTATGTTACCATGAATTAAATATATTTTAACTTAGTAGATAATGTTAGATGCATAGGATTATATTCATTTAATTGTCGTATTTTCTTAAAAGCAAAACTAGTTTTGAAATTGAAGTAAATATCTGAACTTGATATTTAGAAGTATTATTGACATTATTCATGTGGTCCAACTTTTACCTCTGTTCTGCCAGGCATAATTGGTCTTCCGACAAACATCTCAGCCAACAGGCATCCTACACTCCAGAGATCAATGCCAATTCCATAATCGGTTGAACCTAAAAGAAGTTCTGGTGCTCTATACCAAAGGGTCACCACTCTATTTGTAAGGGGCCTTTCAGCATCAATTGAATTTGCAAGCCCAAAATCCGCAATTTTCAACACCCCTCTTTTGTCTATTAACAAGTTTGAAGCTTTGATATCTCGGTGCATAACTCCCCTCTCATGACAGTGCTGGAGCCCAGAAAGCAGCTGCTGCATAAAGCACTTGATCTTGTACAAAATAAAATTAAGAAGAAAAAGACCGCATTAAATTTATTTCACAAGTGTTGAACAATAAATAAACAATTTAGAATGTGATTAGCTAAGAGTAATATTTTTTAATTACTCTGTCATGACAATATCATTTCCATATCAGCATATGATATTATTACAACCTTTTTCTAACAATCAACCCATTTATTTAAACACACTCTTTAGTACACTTAACCTAATCGGTAATCTTTTAAAAACAAAGTAAATTTTTAAAATTAATCAATTTACAATGCTAATACTTTAACTTTTTAAAAAATAGACCAACTGTATCTACAATATAAAAAGAAAATTAAGAGAGTGCATTGCTAGCATTTTCACATATCTCAAGTTATAAGTTTCTAAATGTGTGAAATATTTAGAGAAATTACATTCCAACCTGTGGATCGGTGAGTTTCTCCCCGGGTCGGGTGATAATCTTGGTCAGATCCGATTGCATGAAATCAAAAACTAGATAAAGACTATACTGCATCCTTGATGTTGCTAGTCCTTCAAGTTTGATGACATTGGGATGATCCAGCTTCTGCAATATCATGATCTCTCTTGCCATAAATTTTACACTTTCAGAATCTGTCGTGTCAAACCTTACCTTCTTTAAAGCAACAATCTTTCCCGTGCCCTTTTCTCTTGCCTTGTACACATTGCTATAAGTTCCACGTCCAACCTGTAAGACCCAAAATGACCCGGATAAAATGTTTTCCAAACTCAACTCCAAGTCTTAAAATTTTAGTTTTCCTCTTACATATCATGTCAATTGCGCTAATTAGTGTGATTAACTATGACAATGCAGCAATGTAAGATGAATAAATTAGGCAACCATAAAAAAATGTTGCTTGTGTTGGTATTAACTAACTATTACGTACCTTGGCGAGTTTTTCATAGGAATCAGCGCTCTTAGGAACGAGATTAGCCAAAACATTTGTGGGGATATTATCGACTAACCACTTTGGCCACCCCTCCACAAATTCATATCTAGCAACTTTTTTCTCTCCAATATCCCAAACCTTAGTCTTATTTTCTTGGGCAACATCCAATACTTTACACTTCTCTTCTCTAGCAACCGGTTTTTCCTTGTCACTCTTAGTAGCTGAATCCTTATTATCATTAGTACTATGCACACTCACTCTCTGTGCCTGAGTCTCCTTTTTCATCCATTTTTCCACATGCTTAGAGGAATGTGTGTGGCTGACAAGCCTCTTCCCTTGCCTATTGTGTGGTTTCGACCTCTCAGCTTTGCGAGGGGAAGAATTAAACTTGCCAAAAACGCATCCCATGAATGGCAGATATCTCTGTTTCGGTAACAACCAGGTGACAGTAACATGTCATAAAAACTAGCTAGCTAAATTAATGAGTATTAATAATGATAGAAACTAAAAGGGTACGAATATTGGAAATATTATATGGTATAGAAGGAGATGAACGCGGCTAAACCTATGCTTTCTCCGTCAACGGTGACTGAGAGTGAGAGAGACACGAAATCTAATGATTGGATTATTCCCGAGACCAACATATCATAGGAAATTTGGAACTATGATACTAACGACCGGCACCCTAGAATTTGTTTCCTGACAAGACTGGCGTTACACACACAACACAACTCAAAGTAATATTATTATTTTTTCTCAGAATTGGTATATTACAAGGTACAACGATAATACACATTTCAAAAATCTAATTAATATTTGAAAAAATATTTAAGATAAATGTATAATATATTTAAGAACTAAATAAAATTATAATTAATTAATATTATCTAAAATTTTTAATTAAATAATGATTAAAACAAAAACTTCTTTTAAAAATAGATAGTTAAAATAAATAGAAGCAGCTCAGATTTATCCGTTCAATTGTACTAACATTTTTTAATCCACTATTTTAAAAAAATTATTTGATGATATTTCATGCTGAGTCAGAGTTAGTGACCTTGCCAATAGTAGTTAGCTTCAGGTTCAGTAATATAATCTCAAATAAGGAAAATGTTGAGGACAAGTAAATTTTCAAGATTGCAAGAGAAAAACAAAGACAATGCAAACTCCTAAAGGGTAGAGTCCTCAGCAGCTCTAATATTTGCACATGACGACTAGCAGTTATTACTGTTATTTTATATGCATGTACTTTTACTGTTATGTGTTTCCCTGGCAGGCCAATTTCCTTCTGCTTGTTTTCATTTCTCTGTATTTTCAGTATTTGTTTCTATTTGTTCAATTTCTTTTTCTTTAATAGACAATGATCTTCAAAACTCATTCGGAGCTACCGTCAATCAAATCCACCGATAACATTGTCTGTTTTTGCAAAAACTTCTTAGCTGGCAAGCCAAAATCAAATTAAATTCTGAAGAGTCATTCTTTATTTAAATAGAACATTATTTAAAACAGTAATCTGCAAATTAAAACACAATAACCAGAGCAATCATTTGATGAAAAAAATCAAGTATCTATTTAATCATGTTTAACTTAAGACCTTTTTCATCATTAATGTACGTGAAGAAAGCAATATCTCTCTATCTGTCTTTGTTTTGCCGTGTGCAATATCTTATGGCAATCCATTTTGATAATTAATTTTTGTAACACCATAATTGATATAAAATGAAGCGCAGAATAATAGTAAACCAAGGCTTTCTTGTTAAATATCACTTTAAGCCTCATGCATGGAATGGCCTAGGCCTCTTCTAACAACTAGAGACACTACTAAAATAAATTAAAATTAGAGATGTCCAAATTTTCTAATAAAATGGTTAGTAACAAATAAAAGTTTATGGGCATCGTTAATTTTTTAGAGAGAAATATATATTCTATCTCTAATTATGAAAAAAGAAAGAATTACTCTCAAAATATTAAAAATTTATATTAAAATTAAAATTTTAAGTACTTGATAGTGATACTGTAAACTTGAGAGAGTATTCTATACTTTTTTTAAATTAATGACTGTGATCTTTATAATATTTTAAAGATAAGAAAGTACAATAACATCTTTTTCAACTAAACTATTAACTCTATTATCTATCAGTATAAAATTAAGAATTACGATTGTTTCACGTGTAAGAGATGATATTAAACTCTTTTAGTTACAAGGAATATCATAAATTTTATCTTATATATGTGAAAGTAATATGTGTTAAAAAGTATTTTCAGTAAAAAAGGAAGGCTCGCGCACAAGAAAGTGAGAGAATCATTTCTTTGAGTTCTTGCTAGGGTTCCCTTTTCTTAAGGGTTCCTCGTTTGCGTTGTAGCGTTGTTTTTCCAGTAGAGTTCAAGCTTTTCTAGAAGGATTTTTTCCTTAGATAAGGGCTCTGAGGGACCAGATCTGCTATGGAGCGTCTCGAGGCGAAGAAATGTTCGCCTGAAGAGGAAGATCTTATGAACTAGAGCAAGAAAAAGGTGAAAGTGGAGACAGATTCATCAACTAATGTTCTAGAGATAGCGATGCAAGAAGACGATTCCTTAGATCCTCATCAACCCTAAGTATTTTCTAATCCTATTTCTGTGTCTCAGTCGTACAAAGATAAAGTCATGGAATCTAAAGATTTAGATTTTAGTAAAAAACCAAATCATTAAGTCTGATATGGAAGACTTTAATATTTTTTCTGATGAAGATAACTCTGATATAACCAACGATAATAATCAAGATCTTTGTCCAAACCTAAAAATTGCTTTAGAAGATTACAAGGCCTGGTGCTCTCCATGGAAAGGTACCTTAATAGTTAAACTGTTAGGCAAATCTGTTAGTTTTAACTATTTGAATCAAAATTAGGTATTATTTGGGGGGAAAATGGCCCCTGAAAATTTTAGATTTGAATAATAATTTTTTCTTGGTTAAGTTTAAGCATATTGATAATTATAAATTTGCTCTATTTAAGGGGCCCTGGTTAATTCTTGACCATTATCTCCTCGTCCAGAGGTGGAGACATTTATTTAGGCCTCAAATTAATAATCTTAGGAAGATTACTACTTGGGTGCGAATCCCTGATCTACCCCTAGAGTTATATAATGAGAAATTTCTATAATAAGTAGGAACTTGCCCAGGATCTATGTTGAAAATTGACCCTCATACCTCCTTGTTATCTAGAGGTAGATTTGCTAGGATTTGTGTAGAGTTGGATCTTAGGGAAAAGCTTATCCCTTCTTTTAAAGTTCTAGGACAGGAGTTTAAAATTGAATACAATGGAACTTGCCTAGGATCTATGTTGAAAATCGACCCTCATACCTCCTTGCTGTTTAGAGGTAGATTTGCTAGGTTTTGTGTAGAGTTGGATCTTAGGAAAAAGCTTATCCCTTCTTTTAAAGTTCTAGGACAGGAGTTTAAAATTGAATACAAAGGACTCCATCTTATTTGTTTCAATTATGGTAAATATGGCCATAGCCAAGATTCTTGCCCTGAAATTCTTATCCCTAGCTCTTCTCTTACCAACACACCTATCAATTCTAGTGAACCAACAATGGATAAGGATGAAGTGATTAGTTTCCCCTATAACCGTCATAAGGAGAAGGTTCATTGTGATCGGGTTAATAAGCAATTAGTAGAACAAGGCAAATTTGGCCCCTAGATGTTGGTCAAAAGGCCAGTGAAGAAAAAGATAAGCCAATCAAAGTCCGTAAGGAATATAAATCATAGTATCAATAAATATAAAGGGCCCCTCTCAGGTTCAAGATTTGATGTTTTAAGTGACTAATAATAACCTGAATATGAGTATAGATTCTATTCCTTATGTGCCTGCATCCAACCTGGATAATAAGTGTGAACCTGACCTCAACCAACCTAATTTTATTATTCTCAAGACCCAGGAGATGAATAGTAATGAGGTATGTAACGCCCTGAATTTTGTAATATTAATTAATAATTATATAAATATAAATGTATATTCATGTGTGTATTTTTTTATATATATGTTGTGAATATGTATGTGTGTGTGTGTGTGTGTGTGTGTGTGTGTGTGTATACATGACTGGTTGGGTTGAAATGGGTAAAGTGCCTAAGTACAGGGCGAGATACTGGGCTGTTCTCGCTGCAGCGAGAGGATTCTCGCTATAGCGAGAGGGCCCTGGGAGGAAGGATTGAAACTGTCACCTTCTCGCTGTAGCAAGAAAGCGATAGTTTGGGGTGCATTTCTAGGTGCAGTTTCGCTGTAGCGAGAAGGTCTCGCTGTAGTGAGAGGGCGTGTCGCTGCAGCGAGGGTATCTCGTTGTAGCGAGAGTGTCGCGACTAAAAAAGGATTTAAAAGGGGTTAGGCTTCGAGAAGAGTTATTTCTCCCTGTCGCTTCGATCCTTTCATGCCCAAAGCCTTTTTCATCGATTAAATTGCCTCCAAAGCCGTTCAAGAGCTTGATTGAAGGTTGAATCTGTGTGGAGAATGCTTGGAGGTGAGTTTTAATGGTTAGTGTTTCAGTTTTACATCCCCTTTCTCTATTTCTGTGGTTTCCTTGGGTTCTCATGAAGTTTCTCATGTGTTTAGAACGAAATCCGTGAGGGGGAGTATCTCTTGGTGGATTTAGCGTGTAGGACGTCAATCCGAGATTAGGGGGACTCTACCCTACTCTTTGTATGTGATTTATCGTTATTTAGTTGAAT